CACATGCAGAAACTAGACGACGAGTGGCCCGGAAGCATAGAGGCAAGTTGATGCAGGTGAGGTAACTCTCGCAAAGTTAGCATGAGGAGTTGGCAGGCGAAGCAATTCTCAAAAAGTTGGCATGAGAAGCTGGCAGGTTAAGTAACTCTCGAATAGTTGGCTGGCAAAGTTGGCGGGTGAAGTAATTCTCGCAAAGTTGACATGAGAAGTTGGCAGGCGAAGTAACTCAAGAGAAAAGTTGGCATGAGAAGTTGGCAGGTGAAATAACTCTCAAAGAGTTGGCATGAGAAGTTGGCAGGTGAAGTAACTCTCGAAAAGTTGGCGTGAGAAGCTGGCAGGTGAAGTAATTCTCGAAAAGTTGGCACGAGAAGATGGCGCGTGAAGTAACTCTCGAAAAGTTGGCGTGAGAAGCCGGCAGGTGAAGTAACTTTCGAAAAGTTAGCATGAGAAGTTGGCAGGCGAAGTAATTCTCGAAAAGTTGGCGCGAGAAGTTGGCAGGCGAAGTAACTCTCGAAAAGTTGGCAGGCGATGTTGGCAGGTGAAGTACCTCTCGAAAAGTTGGCATGAGAAGCTGGCAGGTGAAGTAATTTTGCGAAAAGTTGCCACGAGAGGTTGGCAGATAAAGTATTTCTCGAAAAGTTGGCATGAGAAGTTGGCAGGTGAAGTAATTCTCGAAAAGTTGGCAGGTGAAGTTGCCACGAGAGGTTGGCAGGTAAAGTATTTCTCGAAAAGTTGGCATGAGAAGTTGGCAGGTAAAGTAATTCTCGAAAAGTTGGCATGAGAAGCTCGCAGGTGTAGTAACTCTCGAAAAGTTGGCATGATAAGCTCGCAGGTGAAGTAACTCCTCGAAAAGTTGGCACGAGAAGTTGGCAGGTGAAGTAACTCTCGAAAAGGTGGCATGAGAAGCTGGCAGGTGAAGTAATTCTCGAAGTTTCGGCATGAGAAACTGGCAGGTGAAGTAATTAACCCTCAAAAAGCTGGAGCGGCGGAGGCGCTCCGCGTGCTACATTTGCAATTTACAGTTGCGATTTTCCAGCCATTTGTATCTAAAAGTTGCGATTTTCCAGCCGGAGCTGCGGGAGCACGCTCCGCGTACTACGTCTGTACTTAAAAAGTGCGATTTTCCAGCCGGAGCTGCAGCAGCCTCCGCGTACTACGTCTGTACTTAAAAGTTGCGATTTTCCAGCCGGAGCTGCAGGAGCACGCTCCGCGTACTACGTTTGTACTTAAAAGCTGCGATTTTCAAGCCGGAGCTGCCGCGGACCAGGGGGGAATCGAACCCGGGACCGCGGGATTGCGAAAGCAGGCGCGCACACCACGAGACAACTTCCAAAAGCCGTTTCGCGAGCAAGAAAATCGCACGGCGCCACAGCGAGAGCGCTTCGACACGCACGATCTCCGCAGAGGGTTCATCGGGCTCAAGACAGATGCGCACGGCGCCACAGCGAGAGCGATCCGACACGCACGATCCCCGCAGAGGGTTCATCGGGCTCAAGACAAATTCGCACGGCGCCACAGCGAGAGCGCTTCGACACGCAGGATCTCCGCAGAGGGTTCGCCAAGGTCAAGACAAATTCGCACGGCGCCACAGCGAGAGCGCTTCGACACGCACGATCTCCGCAGAGGGTTCGCCAAGGTCAAGACAAATTCGCACGGCGCCACAGCGAGAGCGCTTCGACACGCACGATCTCCGCAGAGGGTTCGCCAAGGTCAAGACAAATTCGCACGGCGCCACAGCGAGAGCGCTTCGACACGCACGATCTCCGCAGAGGGTTCGCCAAGGTCAAGACAAATTCGCACGGCGCCACAGCGAGAGCGCTTCGACACGCACGATCTCCGCAGAGGGTTCGCCGCGCTCAAGACAAATTCGCACGGCGCCACAGCGAGAGCGCTTCGACACGCACGATCTCCGCAGAGGGTTCGCCAAGGTCAAGACAAATTCGCACGGCGCCACAGCGAGAGCGCTTCGACACGCACGATCTCCGCAGAGGGGTGCGTTTCGTAAGCTCCCGTCGGGCCTACCCCCGCCATAAAAAGAAGAAGAATTAAGAGTCGAGATGTGAAGGTAGAACAGAAAAGTTAGCTTGTGTTTTTAGGATAGTGAAGTAACACCCGACAAATTAGCTTGTGCTTTTAGTAGAATGAGATAACAGCCGAAAAGTTGACATGAGAAGTTGGCAGGTGAAGTAACTCTCAAAAAGTTGACATGAGAAGTAGGCAGGTGAAGTAACTCTCGACAAGTTGGCATGAGAAGTTGGCAGGTGAAGTAACTCTTGACAAGTTGGCATGAGAAGTTGGCAGGTGAAGTAACTCTCGACAAGTTGGCATGAGAAGTTGGCAGGTGAAGTTGGCAGCCGCTTTTAGAAGAAGAACCCTTCGCAATGCTTCTGGGAAAAAACGTCAATGTGCACTATTGAGGAAATTTGACGGAAATCGCTTTTCGCTGGCCGTGAGCGTTTGTGGGGCACATGGATGCACATGAGCACAGTTTGCAATTTAC